CAAATTTTATTTTTTTTAAACTAAGTGCCCGAATTTCTATTTAAAAATAAGGGAAACAACATGTAGGTGGGAGAAGAAAAAAAAATTATCAATACACGACGGTGCAATGTGTCATTACAACATATAAGACTTTTGGCGACCAATTATTTTGGTCCCTAAATACTTTTTCTGACAAAACTAATTTCGTCACCGAAAAGGTCGCTAAAAATCCGGCCAGGAAAGTCAAAATTGGCTTTTTAGTGATGAATTTTTGAAAGTGTCCCTAAAAATGACAATTAGCGATGAATTTTCTATCGTCACAAAATGTTTGATTTTGCAAAACTAAAATATTTCGTCGCTAATACTTTGTCACAAAATGTATCTATTTGTCAAAAAAAGCAAAATAGTGACCTTTTTAACATCAATTATATTTGGTCGCTAAAGGTTGGAAATAACATTTTGAAAGTATTCAATTTCATAGCTACAAATTGACATCCACAGCCCAAATCTATTCCTGTATATAGAAAAAAACAAGATTAAACCTTGCACACAAGATCAAATCTATTCCTGTATATACAAAAAACAAATTATAAAAATCAAAACTCTAAGTATCCAAATTCACTTCAACATAGTTCATTATATGAGTTAAATCCCAAAACAAGATCAAAATAGTTCAACATTGTATGAGTTAGAACTCCATGACGATTTCAACTTTTTCTTTCTCTCGCACCACCTCTTCAAAAGTTCAGTTACAAGAGTAGCATGCCCCAAACAATTAGTTGTTCCACGACTACAAAAGCTTATCACCGTCTATAGTCATAGAGAAAGGATGAAAATCCTACACACATGATCATCATCAGAAGTGTAAACAAAGTTTAAAAATGTAAAAAAGATGTAGATGAAATCCAAAAATTCATAAACCTTGAAGAACTTAACTAAGGCAAATTGAAGCAAATAAGAGCTCAGATTTTTGGGGCAAATTGCATTTTTTTTTTCTTTTCAAAATTTTTGGCAACTTGGCATTGATCTTGAAGAAGAACCAATAACCTTAATTGAAATCTGATTGTATACTGGTGCATAGATGTATGTACATATGATATGACCACAGGATTCAGGGTGTTCATTAAATTAAACAAGATAAGATTAACAATCTTAATAATCATTTACAATATCAAACTATTGCTGGCATTGAGAACTCCCAGGACTCTTTCTCACTCACAAAACAATTAGCAAAAACCAAACAAACAGACCCAAAATATATTCTGAAAAAAACATCATCAATCCAGAACAGATAGATTATCAGTATCTACCTACTACCTACCTCAGATTTAAAATAAATAAATAAAAAATAAAAAAAGAGAGAGAGATCAGAGAAGTAAAGAGGGATCACTGCACTCAAAAATGAAACAAATTAGATGGTGGGAATTGCAACGCCAATAGCACATGCACAACTTTCTCTCTCCACCAAAAAACGTATACACGCACACACAAAGAGACTAAAACTTAAAGATAAAGTTGTTCTTAAATGTTTCTGCAATATTTTGCATCGCTAAATAGAAAATCATGGGTAACATTGCACTACAGTTTATATCTTTGAAAGAGAAAGCGTGTAGATTAAGACACCAAAAAGTGCCTGGACAAAGTAGGTAAATAAATGGTATAGGAATTGCACTTTATGGTTCTCTAACTCTTAACAGATGTCCCATCATTCCTGGTTATTCTTCTCCATTTCCTAATGGGAAAATTTCTTATCCAAAAAGAAGAAAGATCAAACTACAGTGAAACCTTATTCAATGAAAATATCTTTAAGGATAATGTCTTTGTTTACTTTGGAATTTAAAGAAAATGTCTTTGGTTCCAGTAACATTTCTGGATGCATCAAATTAAAGACAAAATCATGCACCAAAATAACTTAATGGTTACAGAGGAAGCCCATGTAAAAAGACACTTGCCCTTCATTTCAAACATGTCACATAAACGCGAACCGACTTCCACATCCAAAAAACCAATATTAATACTTCGCTGGATATCTTGAAATGAGGATCTACAAATAATATGCAAATCCATACATCAATCCATATTAAAGCCCTCGAAGGATCAAATTTGTCAACATCAGATATGGAAGCAATTAATAGTGAAATTCGTTATAGGTTATTTGAAACGTTTCAATTGTTTCTCTGAAGTAAGAATGCAGAGTTTGGAAATGCTTAGAATAGCTTACAGAATCAATTACTGAGTGTCGGTGCCCAGGACCGCACCAAGTAAGGAAGAGTATGGAGGACATCTGCATCCACAACCGTGGATTTGTGTTGAATCTATCAAACACCTGTAGTTTGATGGCCACAATATAAGCCGACAGGTTACAAACAGTATGTTTGAAACTTAAGCAATCAAAAGGTAAAGAACATTGTGAGATACCGTTTGGGATAACTCCGAAGGTATGGCACAGTTGCTCCAACAAGCAATCCAACCCAGATGACAATGGCCGAAGTAAAGGCTAGCAAATATTAAATAATGTACAAAACATTAACAATTTTCCTTAAATTTAATTTCTTACCTCCTGGAGGGCAAAAGGGCAGTTTGAAGAATGGGTATGCCTTACTGCAAGAACAAAAACACTTCAATTAATTAAGTGAATATATAATCTATATATAGAGAGAGAGAGAGAGAGAGAAAGAGAGAGAGAGAGATGCACTTTCCTAAATCAAATGAAGTCTAAAATTTATTAAGTTGAATAGAAAGGTTAGAATGGCTGAGTATTGAAATGTATAAGCTTAAACTCCCCATCAATTCAAGTGCTAGCAAACCCATTTGTTCACTCAAACACAATGATTATCAAGATTTGGTTTTGTGAGGTATGATTGCCTAGTAGCAGCGGGAGTAGCAATACAGAAAACAAATGGTGTATGGTGTGATAATAAAATTTTGAAAGTTAAGAAAGCTGATTTTGGTAAGGAGCAACTGTCAAAGGCAATGTATGAACCCTCAAAGGTCACCAGAGAAGCAGTTGGGGCACCAAGGAGGAAGTGTACATTTGCTGAGATGGTGAAAGGTGATGCACTAAAGAAGGATAAGGACTTGAGATTGCATGCAAAAGAGTATGGGTTGGGTGGCTTTTCAATAGCCTGGTGGTCAAGTTGAAAACTCATTTTTCTTTCAGAGATTTTAAGGAGGATCTGCAGAATAGAAGCGTACAAAATATTGAAGTGAAGGAAGGTGGGGGTAGAACGGCGTTCGTAACATTTTCATCAGTTCAAGCTATGAGGAATAGAAGCATTATTATTAGTAAATGGGTTAAGGATGTTGTGCCTAGGAGGTAGAAAACAATCTCACAAGTAAGAACACACAATGATTTACGTGGTTCGGCAAATCGCCTACTTTCACGGGCAGCAGATTTCACTATATGGAGAGAAATATAAAGATTACAAAGGAGACACACTCTGATAGTTTTTTTTTCTATCTCAACTCTTCCCTTGGCCTCTCTATTTATACACTCAACAAAGGTGGAGAGGTTGGCTGGCCTTGCACATGGCCAGCTGTTCCTTCACAAAAGTAGCCGCCCACCTTTGTGACTTGTCGGTTGGCAAGCTTTGCTGCATTGGCTTCACATGGAGAAGAGATCACTCCTCACATGGAGTGATCTCCAACAAAGGACTGGTGCGAATTGGCAGTGGAATGGGAGAGAGGGATGATAGTCGATAGTGAAAGATTGATATGGTTGTATTGTTATGGAGTTCCACTAAATCTGTGGAACACTAAATTTTTTAAAAAGATTGGAGAAATGTGGGGTGAAGTGGTGGGTATTCATGATGAAATGTTGAGCATGGAATCACTGAAATGTGGTAAGGTGGAAGTTATTACTTCATAGTTGGAACGTGTAGATGATATGGTTATCATGGAGAGCAGGGGCACCTTGTATTCTATAAGAGTGATGGAGTGTATGCAATAGAGCCATAGGTATAATTTTGGAGAGGTTGTAAATGGAAGTAAGTCATGGGTGAACGAGGGTAGCCATGGGAGAGTAGATCAGAGCTCTGTGTCCAAACAGATGGGCAAAGTATTCAAATGGGGAAAGATCTGGGTATTGATTTTGGGGATAATGAAGAAAGTGTTATTTGCAAAATTATGGTGATGGAGAATCAAGAGGAGGAAAGATTAGCCAAAAAGGGGATTCATGGTGATGCTTAAGTTTTGCTCCTTAGGAGATTTAGGAGTCAGAAGCTTTTACAATGAAAGTGCTATCATGGAATGTTAGAGGCTTGGGTAAGCTTGAGAAAATAAGGTGCCTCAGAAATTTATAAAGGAAAAAAGGGTAGATATGGTTTTGATTCAAGAAACAAAAAAGTCAAGTTTTGATGAGCTTTTTGTTAGATCTATTTGGCCAGATGATGATCTAGACTATATAGGGGAGGGGGTTTGTTGTGCTTGTGGAAGCCTGATGTTTTTCAGCTTAAGGGTTGTTGTGGATCCAGGAACTTCATTTTGCTATCAGGTTTGGTTTTCCATAGGCTTGATTGTGTTATAAGCAATGTCTATGCCCCTAATGATAGTAGAGTCCGAAGTCATCTTTGGGTGGTCCTAGCGAATTTAAAAGCATCCTTCCCAAAATCGTACTGTTTAGGGGGGGATTTCAATGAAATTAGAAGTATAGGGGAACGAAAAGGATGTGTGAGAAGTAATAAGGAGATGTAGGAGTTCAATGAGTTTTCGAATAATCTTCATTTGGTTGATGTTCCTATGTGTGGCAGGGAATACACTTGGAGTAATTTGCAATCAGGAGTTTGTTGGAGTCGAATTGATAGATTTCTCTTAAATGGTTTGAATGGTTTAGTTTTAAGTTATGGGGCCTTCCTGGAATGTTCTCTGATCACTGCCCACTCTTATTGAAGGAAGCTGAAAAGGATTGGGGTCCAAAGCCTTTCAAATTCTTAAATGCATAGGTGTTACACCCTAGTTTTAACAAAGAAATTAAAAAGGTGTTAGAGGGTTCACAAGTGGTGGGGTGGGCTGGTTTCAGGATAATGGTCAAGCTGAGATTACTTAAACACGCATTGAGGATTTGGAATGTGGAGGTATTCGGAAATGTGGAGTCTAAGCTCAAAGCAGCTGAAGCAGAGTTACATTCTTGGGACTTAACTGCGGAAGAAAGAGATCTTCAAGAAGCTGAAGTTAGAAAACGAATTGAAGTCAGAAAAGAAATATGGAAGCTTATGAAAATGAGAGAGTGGATATGGTTGCAAAAATCGAGATTGAATTGGGCTTTGAAAGGGGATAAAAATACCATGTGCTTTCACATAATGGCATCAAGAAGGCAAAGTAGGAATCTTATTGATTCAATAAAGATTAATGGTATTTTATATGAGGATCCAACGGAAATAAAAAAGATAGTGTGGGCTTACTTTAAAGAGTTGTTCATAGAAGGTTAGAAAAGTAGACCAAGTCTAGGAGGTGAGTTTAGATGTATTGATCAATATTAGCTTCAAAATTGTTTGCTGAAAGATTTCTCAGAAGCAGAGGTGTGGGTTGCAATTAAGAATGCGATGGAAATAAAGCGTCAGGTCCAAATGGGTTTAACCTGACTTACCTTCAAAAGGGCTGGAAGTCCATGAAAGGTGATATTATGGAATTTATGAAACAGTTCCATGATAATGGTGTGTTGGGAAATGGAATTAATTGCTCCTTTGTGACTTTAGTTCCCAAAGTTGATAGTCCTGAATCAGTTAAAGACTTTAGACCTATCAGTCTTATTAGTTTCATTTATAAAGTGTTGTCTAAAGTGCTAGCTCGAAGGATGAAAGTAGTTTTGCTAAGCATTATTGATAGAGTTCAATCAACATTCCTGAGTGGGAGGAGTATTATGGATGGAGTTCTTATAGCAAATGAGGTTGTGGACTGGTGGAAGAAGTCTAATAGGAAAGTGCTAATCTTAAAGCTCGATTTTGAAAAAGCTGATGACACTGTAAACTAGAACTTTCTCATTTATATGTTGGAGAATTTTGGCTTTGGGTCTACTTGGACCAAGTGGATGAAGGGTTGCATTTCCTCTGTAAGAGTTTCAGTTCTTATCAATGGGTCACCATCACCTGAATTTTTCCCTCAAAAAGGATTAAGACAAGGTGATCTATTATCTTCGTTCTTGTTTAATATTGTTGCAGAGGGACTAAATATACTCATATCAAGAGCTAAGGCTTTAGGTCTCTTTAAAGGTGTGTCAGTAGGGGGCAATGGTTTGATTATATCTCATTTTCAATTTGTTGATAATACAGTGATCTTTTGTGAGGCTAAATGATCTGAAATTATGGCTATCAAAAGAATCCTTTGGTGTTTTGAAGTAATCTCAAGTCTAAGGATTAATTTTTGTAAAAGTGTTGTTTGCGGAGTGGGAGTGGCAGATGGAGTGGTTAAGGAGTTTGTAACAAAATTACGTTGTTCAAGTCAAAAGTTACCTTTGAAGTATTTAGGACTCCCATTGGGGGATAGCCCTGGTAGGAAGGTAACTTGGAGACCAGTTTTAGAGAATTTCAAGAAGAAGTTATCTGGGTGGAAGAGAAGAGTTTTATCTTTTGCAGGTAGAGTTACATTTATCAAGTCTGTGTTGTCTGCTTTACCTATATATTATATGTCTCTTTTTAAAATGCCGGAGGGTGTTGCAAAAGAGATTGATAGGATTTAAGCATCATTCTTATGGGGTGAGACAAAGCATAATAGGAAGCTCCATTTAGTGAGTTGGTCAGAGGTTTACAAGAGTATGAAACAAGGAGGTCTGGGGATTAAGAATATTAGGTTAACCAATGATTGTTTGCTGTTAAATGGTGATGGAGGTATGGCCAGGAGGATGATGCTCTGTGGAAGCTAGTTATTTGTGAGAAGTATGGTTTTTTAGGGAGAAGGTGGTTCCCTGTTCTGGCTGATAATGGCTGTACATTGAAGATATGAGGAGATATATTATCTGTGGCTCAAAGGAATAACAAACTTTTTCATTTCTACCAAGATAATGTGGAAATTTTAATAAGGAATAGAGATAGAGTTAACTTCTGAAGAGATCCTTGGTTGGGTTCAACAAATCTTTCAAATCAATTTCCAAGATTGTTCTAGTTGGTGGAAGATAAAGAGTTGTCCTTGAGTTTGCAAATAGCTAGAAGATCTAATCTAGCTGGGTGGGCTTTCAATTTCAGAAGAGCACTTCGGGCTTGGGAAGAAGATGAGTTGGTCAGATTAACCACTGTCTTAGGGGAAGGCCCTATTCTACGAAGTGATTCAATTGATTGTTTGGTTTGGAAGTCTACACAGTCAGGGATCTTCAAGGTCCATTTTGGTTATGCCTAGGGTTTGGTAAATGATGGCCCCATTTAGAGATCAGTTGACCTAATTTGGAATAACTTCTCACCACCAAAAGCCAAAATTTTCTCTTGGTTAGCTTGGAAAGGGAGACTGAAAACAAAAGAACTGCTTTATAGGTTTGGCATCTTGGTGGGTGTTGATATTATGAATTGCATTTTTTGTCATAAGGCAATTGAATCAGTTGACCATATCTTGCTGCATTGTCCTTTTGTTTGGCAAATATGGTCTGCTATTGCTCTATGGTGGGGTTTTCAGTGGGCTATGCCTAGTTCTATTGAAGGGTTGTTACTATGGTGGTTGGGTTGGAAGTTTAAGAAGAAAAGTTAATCAGGTTTGGTGGGCTTTACCTGCAGCAGTATTGTGGTTTGTGTGGAGGTATAAGAAGAATGAGTGTGTTTTTCAGGAAGTTCAGCCCAATCTTAATGATCTGTGTGAGTGTATTAAGGTGAGAGTAGCAATATGGCTAAGATCTCTTATAAGTGGTGCCTTATTCTCAGTTAATGATGTTGTTTTCAATTTTCATCATGTCATAATTTGTTTGGGGTCCTCTTGAGTTTGTCTGTAAAATGGTGGAGGTGCTGTTGTTTTTTTGTTTTGTTTTGTTTTGTTTTTTTTTTTTCCAGATACACTGCTGATATGGTGGAAGTGCTACTGGTTTTTTTCTCAGTACATGATCTGTGATGCTGCTGTTCTGTTTGGTTGTTGTTGTTTTTTGCATTTTAGCTGCTGTTGCCGATGTGGTGGAGGTGCTACTGGTTTTTCTCAGTAAATGATCTATTGTTGTTTTGTGTTCGATTTCTATAGGTGTTCTGTTTCTGTTTTGTTTTGGTTTGCTGCTTTAAGAGTATGGATTATTGGTTGGTTCTGGGTTGAAGTGTGGGCTTTGCCATTGCTACTGAGTTTCTAATTTGATGTTCAATTTTGTTGCTGCTGTTTATTTACTAGGTGAAGATTGAGGTATATGATTAAGTGTGTTTTTTTTCTTAGGAAGCTCAGCCCAATTTTAATGATCTATGTGAGTGTATAGAGATGCACTGCTGATATGGTGAAGGTTCTGTTTTCTGTTCTGATTTTTGGTATACTGCTTGCTTTGCTAATGTTGATGTTCAATTGCTGCTGTTGTTTGTTTATTGGGGGAAGATTATAGTTTGAAAGGGGTTTTTTTGTCTTTGGGTGTGTTTACCTGTTTTGCTCTGTATGTTGGTTACTCACTAACTTGGAGCTTGGAGTTAGTGCTAGCAGATGATTTGGTGTGCTTCTTGGTGCCAACCTAGTTGGGATCTTGATGTATCACTGTGATGTTTTTTGCACCATTCTCTTTATTGATGTACTTTACATACTTCGTATGTTTTTCCATCAATAAAACTTCTTTTTGCTGATAAAAAAAAAAATTGAAATTATGACCATTATAAGCAAAGGAATACCAAAGCGTAGAGTAAGATTGGAAGTCGAAGTATGAGCAAGAGATGCACAATATGACAACAGTACCACATCGGCAAAAAAGAACAAAACTGAATGTCAAAAATGAATGACAAATGCACAAACCTTGTGAAATTTTGGATAGTGGCAGAATCATTATGTTTTGAAGCTCTCCATTAAAACCTAGAAACCATAACAACAAAATGTCAATCATACATTGATACCAGATAAGGAGACTAAATATACAACAGACAGAAATGATAGGATATGAGTGCAATACAACTCTATTCGATTTCCATTCAATTAGAATATAAGATAAATGGCAAGAAATATCATGAGGTAAGTCAACAATCAAGATATGATAAAGCACATCACATAGTAGACCATATAAGCCAAAACTAAAATACTCGAGTCTTAGACATATGTAACAAATATTCATCTCTAGAAATCAATCAAACATAAGTTCTTGATAGATGCTAAAATAGCTTCAAAATAGTCTCCTAATCATATATGTTTACAAGTCAGCCATGACACTCATCACCTAGATACAATATACACACAAGGGGAGAAGGGCTTGTTGCATTAATAGAAAAACTTGACATATGAAGTATTTATGATTCACTCATATGAACAAAGATGTGCAGCAGAGGCTTTAGACACTATAGCAGGTAAGATCTACTAGAACAAAGTTTTCAAAGTCTAATGTCCATTTCTTGCATTAAAGGTTTCCAAGTCACATTTAGTATGTAAATGCAAATATTTATCAGTTGACACCCAATAATGGGGGAAAAAATGGCGTGAAATGAGGAAAGAAATTAGCCTAATGAAACAAGTTGGTAATTACATAGAGAATATGAAAGAATGAAAGGATACCACAATGTAGCAGAAATCCTTGAAGACCTTTATGGCAATGAAATGAGAAGAACCCATATTCAAACTTCCAAGTTGATAAACAAAGTTGCAGAAATCTGTAAAAAATGAAGAAGATGACGAAGAATCAATCTACAGAAAAACTCAATAAAACGTGAAGGATCAAGAAATACCTTGATAGAGAGTGAATAGTGGCCGAATATCAAAATAACAAAAACAAAAACAAAAACAAAAACATGATTAATATCAAGACTATATCAACTTCTTGTTCCTCGAGTGGCAGAGAACAATCTGAACTGAGGCAATCAACTTCTGAAGGAGTTGTTATTTTCTATCAAGATACAAAAGGAATTTAAATTAACAGAGTGTAAATTTTATTTTGAAAAGACGAGCCTCGTTCTAGTGATTTTATTGTTTGAGCCTCACAACGAAATTTAGAAAAGAAAAAAAAAATTTATGTTATTATCATCCTCATATTATCACAGTTCTATATATGTGCGAGTAAAGTAATTATAAAAATACAGAAAACATTTTTTCCCAAAACAAACAGAGCCCAAATTAGGTTATTAATTATATATAATTATAAATAGAACAATTTAGCAAAATAGGGAATATCTTAATAAAACAAAACAGAGCAATTATATAATAAATTTCAAGCAAACAATCTCCATCCTAAAACAAGAAACATCAAGTCAAAAACACAAAAAAAAAAAGAAGTAAAATCTCACAAAGTATCAGAGGGTGTATGACATATTATCAGATTCAGACTGTGCTAAATATGAAAAACTGAACCACAGTATCAGAGGGTTGTTTTTCTTTTTGCAAAATAGTGTGTTTCCAAAAGCAGAAAACAGAAAGAGAAAGAACAGTTGTTTTAGAAGTTGTTTGATTCACTTACATGATCTGATTATCAGTCTAGAGAATACAAAATCTAACAAGCTATCACCGAGCTAACCAAAATCAAAATAGCGAATCCTGATGATGCTGTAGCAGAGAACACAAGGACCTTGCAGCTTCTACTTCACTATTGAATACCCCAAGATACATATACCTGCAAGCAAACATCATAACCTGATAGATAAAAAGGGTCCCTACGCATTTCTACTTTGAAATTACCATCCTAGATTTTTATCTAGCATGAGTAAAAGCACAATGGCAAGTTCTCAAAAGCCAAATTAGAGTTCCTAACACCATCTACCAGGTTTGTAACTTATAATATTTACATCTAACAATAGGATCATCTAATTAATTAGTAACAGTTTTGAGTTTAAGGGCTACTCACTTCTTCCCAAGGAAATGTTCCATTTGAGCCTCCTATAGACCACATTTGTGCAAGGT